CCCCGCATCCTGCGACACTGGCGCTGCTGGTCTGTGTGCCACACTTGGAGCACCGAGGGGCTAGAGACCTAGAGGCACTCAGCGATCATCCCAGTTCTTCTAAGGTGCACGAAAGCCTGATTCAGAGCCCGAGTCTGCCTTCGAAAAGAGTGAACTCCCCCAATTACAACTGTCTCTTCCCCTCTACCAGCTGCTAAGGAATCCCAGGCCCAGAATTAGGAACTCCATTTTAAGGCAAGGGGACTGAATGCCCAGCCAGGCCCCTTGCAGGGGCAGACAGGCCTCTGCTTACGGGTGAGAAGCCTGAGGGGTGCTTCTGGCCAGCAGAGGGCATCCAGAAGCCAGGGAGTCAGTTCTGGGAGCCCCAAGATGGGTTCCTATCAAGTCAAGTTCCTGTGGCCTGAAAAGGGTCTACCCACACGATGAGGACATGTTTCTCTCTCATAGTCATTCCTAGTCGTCCTGCAAGGCGTGAGTACCCTGTGTTTCCAGCACCCAGCCGCAGTGCTTTCTTCTCTCAGGACTTGACTAGAGTGGGTATGATGATTACCAAGAAAGTAATTATGTGAATTACTGTTTGTGAATTACTGTTTGTGAATTCGTATATGTACATATATGTACAGTGTGCAATTCAAGATTGATACAACATATTAACATGCACATGTGTACTGTATACACTCAATATATTGTATACATGTATAATATATGCACAGATATTAACATATTTATGTTTATATATGTATATACTATATTATAGGTTATATACACATAATATATATTATATACTCCTACACTTGGTATATGCACATACATACATATAAACGTGCAGCTGTTGTTATCTCTTGGGTGAAGAAAGCCTTATGGTTGACAGACAGCAAAAGAAACCTTTTCTTGTGTATATAGGTAAACACATTTCCATGGGAAAGAAAAACTAGAAGGAAATACACCAAAATACAAGTAGGTTTTTCCAAAGCAAAATTATATTTTTCTATATTTTTTACCTTAAAACAGTGTGCATTTTTATTGCCTATATTATCGGAACAAATGCATATATTTAAGTCTAGGTCTAAAATACTGTGCAATAACTTTTTCTCTCTCTGATAGAATTCAGCTTTCTTAAAGCTGACTGAGGAACATAATTTAGAAACAAGTCTTTTTGCTTGCTAAAGCCAAGTCCAACCCAAAGGGATACTATCATGCTTATGGGCCCGGCTCAGGCCCCTGGCTTCAGCTCTCAGTTGCTGGCTGACTTTTGTGAAATCAGGTAATCACCAGCACATCAGGTCCATGTGCAGGGAAGTTTTTTCCCTTAATTCATTGCTGTACCCCCAGCACCTGCAGCAGTCGGCCGGCACAAAATGCCATAGAGGGCATTCAACAAATATGTATTAAATGAATGAATGAAGAGTAAACCTATCCCCTTTGCTGCTCTATTTTGACCCAATGGTAATAGAGCAGAAGATGGAAAAAATGTCCAGAAATGTTGTTGACTCAAAGAGGAAAGGAAACCTTTTTAACCCCTTTATTCAGAAATGGAAATTAAGGGCTGGGCGCGGTGGCTCACGCCTGTAATCCCAGAACTTTGGGAGGCAAAGGGAGGATGCGGATCACCTGAGTTCAGGAGTTCAAGACCAGCCTGGCCAACATGGCGAAACCCCGTCTCTACTAAAAATACAAAAATTAGCCGGGCATGGTGGCGCACACCTGTAATCCCAGCTACTCGGGAGACTGAGGCAGGAGAATCACTTGAACCTGGGAGGCGAAGGTTGCAGTAAGCTGAGATCACACCACTGCACTCCAGCCTGGGCAAAAGAGTGAGACTCTTGTCTCCAAAAAAAAAAAAAAAAAAAAAACAGAAGGAAAATTAAGACCAGCTAAAATGTGGGTAATCATTATTTGACTGTCTTTGCTCCTCAAAATCATTTTTAAAAGACACCTTATATTTGTACCTTATATTTGTTATATTTGCTGTGTTACTTTTAAATATATGATTCAGATAATGCTCATTGAATTTCTAGTTTTAAGGTGGTTGTTGTTACAAAGGGGCAATAACTTAAAGCAAGCATATATATCATTGAAAATGACATTTTCCAGATAATAATGCCCTCCCAGTGTCCAGTCACAAATTTTTAAAACAGTTGATAAGAACTCAACATTCACTGGCACTCACACTTCTTGCAACTTTGTCTAATCAATATCATTTTCCAAGCTCTTGCACTTGTAAGTTCTGACTTCATTTTTTCTTCCCTCTATTTATTTATTTTCTGAAAAATGTAAGAGTCAAGTTGGGATTATTTCTCCTCCTCTTCATGTGTTTCTTTGTCATCTTTGATTGGGTGTGCATTTTAAACTAAACTAAGTCTCTCTGTCCGTGTGAGGGCATCAGCCATATGGAAGGCCATTGAGGAGATTCTAGGAGTTCTACATGGGTAAATGCCTTATCAGCACATTGCAGGATTTAGGAATGTGCAGAATTCCAGGATGCACGTGGGATCCAAAGAGCTGCCCATATCCTGGATTCTGCAACATTTGGAAGCCCGTCTCCAAACAACTCTCAGCCAGGCATCCTGGTTTACAAAGCAAGCACAGTCTCTATGTTCTCATCATTCACTTGACCGTCTCCAAATCTTAAATCTAACAAGATTCATAGCAGCTAATAGGAAAATACTTCTCCTTTCTTAGTACTTTTTTGTTTGCTTGCTTTACTCTGTACTTGTATTTTGGATAGCCTTAGATTCTCAAAAACAAGTAATTTTCTTTGGTCTGTCTGATTAGATTGTTCATAATAACATTATTACTACAATTGTTATTGCTATTTACTGAAAATGTGATATAAGCTCAGGACTATTCCTGCCTTTCAAAATCAGGTGCTAAACAAGTGAGAAGACCCCTGTTCTCATAGACTTTATTCTAATTTGATGGAGACCGAAAATAAATTAAGAAACAAACAACCCTGATGGTTTAAGACAGGAAATATTTGGATGAAACAAATAAAAAGGAGTATAGAAAAGCAGGACTGAGATGATAAGGGTTATATTTAGATTTATCTGAGGACCCGATGACATTTGAGCAGTGAAGTGGTCTGCGTGACAGGGCAGACTCTGCCATGAGAAGATCCAGGCAGAAGACCTGTGAGGGCAAAGGCCTTGAGGCAGGAAAAGTCTTGGAGTGTCTGAGGACAGAAAGCAAGCCAAGACCAGGGAGTATGTGAGCAGGGAGAGTGGCAGTTGGGGCAAAATCAGGCAGTGCCTTACAGACCATGGTGGGGAGACCTGGTTTTACTCTAAGGGCAGTGGAGACCAATGGAAGGTTCTAGAACAATTTGCTTTTTGAGACTCTTTCCTCTGGCTACTGGTAGCAAACAGATGGAGATAGGACAGGCATTGGAGCAGTAGTCCCCTTAGGAAGCCAGGTTGTCAGCCAGGCTTGGTGAACCTGGCCCCAGCGGAGGCTGTGGGAATAGTGAGATGGTGGGAATACCCTGTCAGGTTGCCAGGGTTGGCTGTGGGGGATACAAGAAAGGGAAGAATCAAGAATGACTCCCAGGATTTTGACTGGAACGACTTGCAAGCTCATGTTGTCCCAGCCGTCGTCCTAATATCATCTTATTTAATTCTCCAAGCAACTCTGTCAGCTCAGTGCTGCTGTATACACATTTTCATAGATGAAGAAACTGAGGTGTAGAGAATTTAAATAACGGAGTCATTCAGCTCATCAGCCACAGAGCAGGGACCAGAGCCCAGCACCATCTGATGAGAAACCCCTCTGCCTCCCAAAGACACTGTGCCTCGGCCATTTAAGAGAGGCCAGAGGGTGCCCGAAATAATGTTAGATAATTGTTCTATCTATGCAGTTTTTAGAAACTATTGGGAGATTGGTAGGATATATGAAACAAATACTGGATACTGGTCTAAAATTTTAAAATACATTTTATTAAACATTTAATTACTGTTTAAATGTTATAAAAATTCCTCCTTAACTCTGGTGGGAATATAAAATGGTTCAGTCATTTTGGAAAACTGGCAGTTTCTTATAAAGTTAAATAAATACCCACCCTATGACTCAGCAATTCTCCTGGGTCTTCATCCAAGAGAGATGAAACATGCCCACAAAAAGACTTGTACAAACAGTGTTCGCAGTCATCTGGCTTGTAATACCCTCACACTGGCAACAAACAAATGCTCACCCACCGCCATATGGATAACAAATCATAGCACACTCATAGGATGGAATACTACACAGCAATTAAAAGGAATGGATCACGCAACGTGAATGAATCTCAATCACATTAGGTTGAACAGAAGAAGGTAGGCACGAAAACATCCTATATGGTTTTATTTGAAGTTGGAAAACAGTTAAAACAGTATCTATGGTGGTAGAGGGTGAGGAGTTGACTAGAAAGAGGCACGGGAAACTTTCTGGAAGGTAGAGACACTGTGTATCTGGATTGCATTGAGGAGTACATGGAAATATGTATGCATATTTCTTTCTAGAGGTGAATTAGCAGTTAATCAGGACAGTAATACAAGTCTAGGCAGAGCCTTCAAATCCTCTTTGAAGATTCCGGCCCACTGACAGACCATGCTGAGAAATTCCACCAGGTGGCGCTGCATCCGCTGACGCTGTATTATTGGGAGAAAACGTGGAAAACAGAAGCCCACTGGTGGTCTTCCTAGCTCCCCACCCCCATTTCGACCCCCTACACCTACACACATTCCGCCTCTTTTTCGTCCTGAGTATCCTCTTTTTTCCCACCTGGCCATCTGCCAAACCATCCCCCAAGTCCGGTGTTACTAAGAAGTGATTCACCCTCTCATTTCGGAGACCTAACTAGCAGGTGGGCAGTGGATATTTTTTTTTTTTTAAATTCTGCTTGGTGTTGTATGTCAGGTTTCGTTGGTGATGGAAAGTCATTTGAATGTTTTAGGAAAAGAGCAATATAATAAGGTTTAATTCTGGGGAAAGCAGTACAGACACTTGGCAGCGCAGGGAAATAAAGCTAACTGGGGTTCTTTATTTTTTTTTTTCTTTTTATTTCTTTTTGGCCGTTTTCATTTTTCCAGCGGGTAAACTGGAAACAGTGAAATGGGCGTTCACCTGGCCCCTGAGTTTCGTCTTATACTTCACTGTACCCAACTGCAACAAGCCGCGCTGGGAGAAATGGTTCATGGTGACGTTTGCTTCCTCCACGCTGTGGATCGCAGCCTTCTCCTACATGATGGTGTGGATGGTGAGTGCAATTGGGACCCCATGGCACTGTTAAACCTCTTTAGAGGAAAAAGAAGGGAATAAGAGTCAGGGTTTCAGCCTATAACTGTACCAGTCAGCTATTGCTACAATAAGCTGCACAACGAACCACTCCTAAACTTAGTAGTTTAGAATTGCAGGCATCGATTCTCCTGCTCACACCTTTTCAGGTTGACTGTAGATTTATCAATCTTAGCTGGGACTTGCTATGCAACTGTCTCTCAGGCTTCAGGGTGGTTGTGTTTGATTCAGGCAGCAGGTGGGGTCCATGTCTACTCCACATGTCTGCTCATTTTCTTTGTACTAGAGGCTAGCTACCTGGGATATTCTCTTCTCACAGTGCATCATTAGAATGCAAGAGAGTACATGAAAACACGAGATGCCTCCCTGGTCTTCTCCTGGCCCTGGCTTACCATCACGTCCACTCACATTTTACTGGCCAAGCCCCACATCAATGGCATGGGGGAAATGTACTCCACCTGCTCCAGTGGGAAGAACAGCCATGTCTCAGGGCAAAGGACATGGAGGAAAGGCATGAAGAATTGGGAAATGGTGATCAATCCCTATCAGCAACTTAGTTTCTTCAACCAGACAATGAGGCATTGCATTAGGTGATCACTCAAGGGTCCCTTCTGAGGCTAAAATAATGAGTCAGTGATTCACATTGGTTGATTGACATTGACTGACATTAGTTGATTGACATTGATTCAGTGGCTTTGACATTAACAAAGCCATTTTAGGAAACCCAGCCTTCCAGAATGCATTGCCCATTTATGGCTATACTTTTTAACGGGGGAGCAATTCCAAATCATTAGAATTGGCCAGAAATTAAAAGGCATGGCAAAATGATGCAAATCCAAATTTATCTTGCCTTGAGTGTTGGACAGAAATGCAATATAAATCTGGAGAATTAAACTCAAGAGCTAAAAAGAAGGTTCTGAAAAAGGTATTTTGGTAGGACCAAAAATACCCAGAAAAATTTTGTTACATGGATTGCAAATTGGTAAACCTGACACAACTAATTCATAATCTTCTCTTTCCTCAATATCACAAACATTTTTTTAAAACCCAAGGTTTATAGCCAGGGGTTTCTCCCTCATCCTGCATTCACTAATGTTTTTATCTGACATATGCACCAAGTGCCACCTCTTATCTGGGTTTGGGGGACAGTGTTGGCTGTCCCTGACCTTAAGGTGCTATGTGATTTTCTGTGCAGTCCCCTAACCAGCAGTCTAACTGACCTGACTCATCTGAGGTTCAACCTCCTTCTGTTTGCTTCCTTTGCCTCCAGCGGAGGTTCTAGTAAGTCCCAATCAATGCCCAGGACGAAGGGAGAAAACTAGGAGAAGCCGGAGACCTGGTCCCAGCCACCTGAGCAGTCTGCTCCCCTGAACTCCAGACTGAGCCACAAATATGATCATGAAAATGATGAGCCAGAGGCCAAGCCTGGCTGAGCCAAACCAGATTCCTACAGGGACTGAACTGAGGGTTAAAAAGGAAAAACAAGGTTTGGCCAGGATGCCGGTAGCTCCATTTGCTGCAAAGCAACAAAATAGAAACAGCGTGTGTTTCTGCAGCTCACTTTCCTCCCTGGAGACTGGAAGTCAGAAAGCCCTGTGGCCACCCCAGGTTCAATTCTGTTCAGTTCTGCTCAGTACTGAACAGAAATGAGCTGCATTCTCTGGTTTGAAAGGAGGCAAGGCAGGCATCTGTATGGATTTCACTCACATCCCCCCAGTCTTTGAACAGGGAAGGAGGGATTATGGCCTCTTTGGAGTGAAGTCAGGGTTCCGGGTGTAGGTGTCTCTCAAGGGCTGGCCCAGGAGGAACTGTGAGAAGAATGTGCTCCTCACAACATGTGGTTTGCATTTCCTGTAGTTTTATGGAAAGTGGCATCCTAAAATGATCTAACAGTTTCAACTCTTGTGAGTTATCTTCTCCTTGGGCCCACGTGCAGGGAATATGTCTCTTTTTCCAGTTACCTCTTTTTTTGCCACCAGCTCCCTCATCATCTGCCTCATCAACTGCTTTTGTTTTTTTAAGCATGCTTACGTTTGCCTTTTCTATATTTGCATAAGTTTAAGCGGTACAAGTGCAATTTGTTACATGGACATATTGTGTGATGGAAGTGACGAAGTCCTGACTTTAATGTATCCATGACTGAGATAATGTGCCTTGTACCCATTAAAGTAATTTGTCATCACCCACCTCACTTCATTCTGTGCTGAATTTAAACTGGGGTGGCCTCTGGCCTTCCTGACTTTCAGTCTCCAGGGAGGAAAATGAGACGCAGAAACACATTTCTGCGCCTGACCCTTCTGAGGCTCCATTGCCTATCATCCCACACCCATGTCCAAGTGTACACATTACGTAACACCCACTTATGAGTGAGAACATGTGGAGTTTGACTTTCTGTGTCTGAGCTGTTTCACTTAAGATAATGGTCCCCAGAAGCTATTATGATGAAGATGGACGAGGACAGCAAATTGCTACCAAGCTTCAAGGAACAGAGAAAAGGAAATGCTAGCTACGGCTTTCTCTTTTTTTTTTTTTTTTTTTTTTTTTTTTTTTTTTTTTTTTGAGACAAGGTCTCACTCTGTTGCCCAGGCTGGAGTACAATAGCACTATCACAGCTCATCGCAGCCTGAACTTCCTGGGCTCAAGCCATCCTCCTGCCTCAGCCTCTCAAGGAGCTGGGATCACAGGCATACACCACCATGCCCAGCTAATTTTTAAAATTTTTTGTAGAGACAAGGTCTCACTATGTTGCTCAGGCTGGTCTAGAACTTTTGAACTTAAGCAGTCCTCTCAACTTGGCTTCTCAAAGTGACAGGATTACAAGCATGAGCCATTGTGCCCAACCTTAGAGTTATGCCTTTTCTGACAAGTATGGATACTGTCAAATCCAGCCCCTTTGCAGTTCTTCTAAATTCCTATTATGCATCCCCCCTGACATGGACACTCAAATTCCAAGCAAAGCATCCATCCATTCTGGATTCCTCAGGGCCACCTGTAGTTCAAATATTCTGTCCCAATATTAAGAAATTCTATTTTCTCTTCTCAAACCACCCACCTCACCTGAAAAGAACAAGTGAAAAGACCAATGTTTTGTTGGAAAGCATGGGTCCTATTATAGCACTGTCCCCTGACCTGCAGCCCCAGCCAGCATCCACATAGTATTGATACAGAGAGCAGACATTGCACCCCACAGAGATAGCCCAGACGGTACCCTGTTGTGAGTCTCCATCAGAAGAACCATGGGCCGGTGGGGCTTGAGGTGACCCCTCAGCTCACCATCTCTTCCTGCTCCTTCTAGGTCACAATCATTGGTTACACCCTGGGGATTCCTGATGTCATCATGGGGATCACCTTCCTGGCTGCCGGGACCAGCGTGCCTGACTGCATGGCCAGCCTCATTGTGGCCAGACAAGGTGGGACTTCCAGTGGCAATGGGGAAGGAGGGAGGGAAGAAAAGAGGGAGGGAGGAAGGGAGGGAGGGAGGGAAGGAAGGAAGGCAGGAGGGAGAAGAGAAAGGAAGGAGAGAGAAGAGAAGAAAAGAGGGAGGGAGGGAGTGAAGGAAGGAAAGAGGTAAGGAAGGAAGGAAGGAAGGAAGGAAGGAAGGAAGGAAGAGAGGGCCTCTCTACCTGGGGTACCTACCTGGCAATTAACAAGGATTGGAAGGAGGGAGGGTGATGCCATGTTGGTTGAAAGGTTTCCTGGGATCAGAAGAACAGAGAAATGATCCAGAAGGTCCCACCCTTGAGGAAAGCAAAGACATTTCCAGGTAGCACCCGTAGCCTCTTCTGGAGGCTGTATCACCATCCTTCTATTATTCAAAGTAGTGGGAAATGTACTGACAGCTAACCTTTGCTGAGTAAAGCATCGCAGATGCAGTATCTTATTTGATTTAAACAACAGCTCTGTGAAGTAAGCATAATCATACCCCCATTTTATGGACAAGAAAATTGAGGCTTAGAGAGGACAGATCCCATCCCTAAAGCTGACCCACCTGCAGTGCCCTCTGAGTGACAGGTCCCAGAGGTCAGTTTTCAGAGTGTGACAGATCCTTCCCTCCTTCAAAGCCAAGCTCACAGGCTCACAGCTCACTTTCCCAAACAGATGCCCCAGATGGTCACACCCTTCTGCAGCACTCATTCTGATGCATCTGCCTGATTTATGCTGGAGGGCATTTGTTTCAAACAAATGTGTGTTGAGCTACAAAACTTAGCCCAGTATCCCATAGACATCCTCAAGAAGCTCTACTATTGTCTACACTATTGTTCAGTTATTCTGAAGAAGGCCTAGAGACAGTGCAGGGCAGTTGGAAGATGACCCAGTGTGCAGGTGTGATCTCGGGAGTCACTTTCTAGAATGGTTGAGTTTATTCCTTTCCATAAGGATGTCTCAGAATCTCCAAAATCCTTGAAATCATCTGTATTAGTGTGTCTCACATTGCTGTAAAGAAATGCCTGAGGCTGAGTAATTTATCAAAAAAGAGCTCTAACTGGCTGACGGTTCTGCAGGCTGTACAGGAAGCATGGCAGCATCTGCTCAGCTTCTGGGGAGGCCTCAGGAAACTTCAGTCATGGTGGAAGGTGAACGGGGAGCAGGCATGCCTTACATGGCAGGAGCAAGAGGGTGGGGCGAGGTGCTACACACGTTTAAACAACCAGATCTCACGAGATCTCACTCACTGTCACAAAGCTGGTACCAATGGGGGATGGTGCTAAACCACTCGTAAGAAACCACCCCCATAATCCAATCACCTCCCGCCAAACCTCACCTCCAACACTGAGGACTACAATCCACATGAGATTTTGTGGGGACACAGACACAAAGCATATCACTGTATTTGGTTTTTTGAATCACTTATATTCAGTCAGTGATCATGTTTGAAGTAAAGGTCAACCATTCAATAGAACGTGTGTTTCTATGCTTGATAATTGGTGTCATCCTTTCACATGGGTGATGGCCTTGAAAGAGAAGCACATATGTGAGCTTGCAGAACCACACTCTGGCTGTGAGATTAAAGGTTTGGGAGAGTCCTATGTGGGGCCCCTGCACTCTCCTGGGTTCCCTTCCCTCACTTAAGTGACCTCTTGTCGCTGCAGGGATGGGAGACATGGCCGTGTCCAACTCCATTGGGAGCAACGTGTTTGACATTCTGATTGGCCTCGGTCTCCCCTGGGCTCTACAGACCCTGGCTGTGGATTACGGATCCTATGTAAGTGGTTTTCTCCAGGACTTCTCCTGAAATCCAGGGCTACGTGGACTCTGTTTTAACAGCCTTGGCCACAGGGTCTTTGTCTCGGGGCAAAGGGGGTGTAGAAATCGTAATATTGAGGGGAAAACAAATTCTCCTTGTCAAAGGCCTTCCTAATTCAGGCTTGCAGGGACATTCAGGACTTTAGAGCAGGGGCCAGCAAACTTTTTCTGTCAAGGGGCAAATACTAAACATTTTAGGCTTTGTGGGCCAGAGGATGTTTATACAGCTCTTCAGCTTTGCTGCTGTAGTAGAAAAATGGCCATAGACAACAAATAACCAAATGGGCATGTCTGTTTCAATACAACTTTCCTAATAGAAACTGAAGTTTGAATTTTATATCATTTTTATATGTCATGATATATTACACTTCTTTTGATTTTTGTTCCAGCCATTTAAATATGTAAAAACCATTCCTCACTAGTGGACTGTGCAGAAACAATTGGTGGGTCAAATTTGGCCCATGGGTCATAACTTGCCAACTCCTACTTTAGTGTACTTAGACTTGCTTATTACAGGCTAAGTGATGCATGTCAGAGACATATTGGAGAGATGCCATCCAGGTTGGCCACTGAAAGGGCATCGCCCACTACAGGGGGTCACAGAATTCCAAATAACTCTTCTAAGTTCTGCAGCCCAGAGGGTGAGACTTTTGCAATCAGGCTTTTACGAATTGACTCACATCAGCCAAATTCACAAGAGTTTGATGTCTAGGATAGAATGTCAACAGATGGTAGTAACAGATGGTAAGATATATAAGGGCTGTGCAGAAAGCATATGCTTATTTTGGATGATATGTTCTCTATATTCCTGGAGAAATATCTTATGTGGGAGTTATTTTGGGCATCCTATGACCATCCTCTAATTCAGTGTTTCAGGAGTACTCACAGATTACATTCATGGCTAAGGTTTATTATAGCACAGGATATGGGATAAAAGGAGCTGGAAAGTGAAATGCATCAGGAGAAGCCCAGCATGGTCAGCTGCAGGCCTCTAATTCCTTCCCTAATGAGTCACACAGAACGTGCTTTCTCCCTTGCAGGGAACATGCATGAGATGTCTCTGTCCAGGGAAGTCCACTGGAGGCTGAGGCTTTTGGGGAGGGCTGGTCTGGTAGGCGCATTTCTGCTGCACGAACAGCCGTGATGCCTGAATCTCAGAACCACAGCATAGATACCAGGTAGACATTATACAGTTTGCCAAATGATCCTGACAAGTTGGTACAGCATGGCCTATCGCTTCTGGGGTGCAAACCAATGTCATCAATTGTAACATCCCAAGGGTCACATTCATAGGGGTTGGCCAAAGGTCAACCATGGTTCTGGACTCTCCTGGAGGTATGCAAGGATTAGATAACCAGGCCTGCTGTGTCAACAACTTTCACACAGAAGGTCAAAGTATTGTTTTATTTTTCAGAGTAAATGTTGCTAGCTACTGTGTTACCAAAAACCCCAAAATTCCACTGGAGTAGCCCAACAAGGGTTTGGTTTTTTACTCAAATTCCACTGCAGATATTCCCATCCTGGCAGCTCCCATGGGCTCTTCCAAGCAGAAACTCAGGGTTTGTGGCACAGTCTATCCAGTGGTTCTACCATCTTAAAGTCCTTCTCCCATAGCAACACAGAAAGCAGAGAAGGCAAGGGCATGGAATATTATGTAGATCATTTTCTGATGAGGCCCAGAAGTGGTATCTGTCCCAACTGTTCTCATCCCACTGTCCACATAAGTTACATGTGCCCACTTGGATGCAAGAAGGATCCAGGTAATTAGTTTAGTGTTGTGCCTGAAATTCATATAGCCACATGTAGCTTGTGGCTGACTGTTGGACCCTGCAGCTCTAGAGGATTAAATGACAATCCCCCAGAGTCTAATCCATAGATAACTATTAACATTTCAGCATATTTTTCTTTCTCTAGGTTACTTTGTATAGCTAAGATGATCCTATAAAGCCAATTTTATACATTGCTTTTTATACTTCCTGTTATATCAAACATGTTTTCCTCAAAATCTAATTGGAAACATCATCTTCAAGGTGACCTATTATTACAGTATGTTCCAGAATTTATATAATCATGCTGCTGATCTTGGACACTTATGTTGATTCAAACCTTTCACTGTTTCAAGTAGTGACACCACAGACATCTTTGTACATTAATCTATAAGTTTTAGAGTTGTACATAGATCTATACTTTTCAAGTTTACATTTCAAGTTTTTTTTAGATGATTTTTCTCAGTGTTGGAAAAGTTCCATAAAAGAATGACAGATTGACATTCCAGAATGACAACATTTTTTATGTGGTTATTTGTCCAGATTCATTCCTGAAGTTTTGGGACAGCTTTATGACACCCTCGTATCCTGACCACAGGAAGCTCCACGAAGGCTGACATTGAACCTTTCACTTGTCTGTCTTCTTCATGGCACACAGTATGGGGCAGGCACATACTCAAGCCATGAAAAGCCTGTTGAATAAATGGGAATCCATGTTTAGCTCTTCCATGGCCTTTCTATTCACTTTCACCAGCAGTGAAAGTTACCTTTCATGAATTAGAGGGACACTTCAGGTCCAGGCTGAGACATGAGGGCATGAATAACCTTGTAATTTGGTGCCTCCCAAAACATATTTTTATTTAAAAAAATATTTCAGCATTTATTTTCAAGATGAGATAAAATGTTTCGTGAGCAAAGGGTGGAGATAGGAGATGACTGGTTTCTTCAGTTATGCAGTCTTCCCTTGTTATCAGGCAGTTCAGCTCTGAACTCAAACTTGCATATCACGCTCTGAACAAATGCTTTGCAGTTAACACAGCCTAACTTCTTTAAAAACATTTAGTGACTTTCTGTTCCTACTCGGTCTTACTTGACAAGGAAGCCAATAAAGATGCTCCTTAGCCAGATTCAGAGTGCTGCATACAGGGGTCTGATGAACTCATTGGCAGTCCATCTGGTTTATTCCTCAGCTTGTTTCACTTCCCCATTTACCTCTTATCAAAGTTATGAGGAATTAAAAATCAGACCTATCTCAATTTTAACTGCTTTGTGTCCCTCTGTTGAGGACTAGAAGACAGTGGTT